TAGACCTTTATTTCTCAGATCAAAACTCCAAGTGAGTCAAAGACATCACCACAAAGCCTGAAACAATAATGGTGATATTCTTACATTTCTTTTTAATAGTATTTTATTAATTCCTAGAGAATTTCATATGTGCATTTCATGTGTTCTGATCATATTTACTTCCCTCCCTCAGTTCCTCTAAGATTCATCCCTCCCTCCCTACCCACACAACTTCATGTCTTCTTTTCTTCTAAAAGCATAGAGTCCTGTTAGTACTGTTCAAATCCTCTGGGGATGTGGGGTTAACTCCTGGAATGTGATCTACCTAAGAAGAGTTACACCCTTAAAAAAAATTGACCCTCCCTCTCCCAGCAGCTAGCAATTGCCAATAGCTCCTTAGCTTAGGGTGGGACTTCATTTCCACCTGTCTGCTGAGATATTGTCTGGTGTGAGCTAGTACAGATCTGGTGTATGCTGTCACACCTACTGTGAGTTCATATTGTATCTACACTGTTACACCTAGAAAATATTCTTCCCATGCTTCTACCATCTCTGGCTCTTATAATCTTCTTATTCCCTCTTCTATGAAGATTCTTGAGTCTTGTGAGTAGTTATATGATACAAATGTCCCATTTAGAGCTGAACATTCTTGGTCTCTTAATCACTGCCCTTTGGTCAGTTATGGATTTCTGTGTTGATCACCATGTATGGCAAGAAGAAATTTTTCTAATAAGGGCTGAGTGATATACCAAATGATGGATATAGTAAGTCATCAGAAGTTTATTTAATACTATTTCTATTTACAGAATGGTAGTAGTAACAGGTTCTCATTGAATATGGAGAAGTTGAACTGCTGCCTACATAGAGCCTTTAACCGAATTTTCTAATGTCTTTGGTATGGTAAGATATTCTGTGTTCTACCAAAACAGAAATGTTAACACCAACTGAGCCACAAAACCTTCTATCTACAGTGCTATCCTACTTACAAGATATGATAAGTCAATGGTAGCACAAAGCTTGTGGGAGTAACTAACCAATGTCTGATTTGACTTAAGGCCCACTCCATGAGATGGAACCCATACCCAACACTGCATGGGAGGCTCAGAAGCTGAGACTAGATAGAAATAAAATGACTTCTAATGACATTCTGCTATACTCATAGATCAGTCCCTTATTCAGTTATCATCAGAAAAGCTTCCCTCTGCAATAGATGGGAACAAATTGAGATCCACAGCCAGACATTATGCAGAGAGTGAGAGACCTTGGAACATGCAGCTCTAAATGGGATGTCTCCATCAAATCCTTCCCCTCAAGGCTCAGGGAACTGAGAGGAGAAGGAGGCAGAAAGAATGTAAAAGCCAAGAGGGATGGAGGACACCAAGACAACAAGGTCCTCTAAACCAACATGAGTAAAGATCATAGTAACTTCCATGGACTGAGTCAGAATCCACAGGCTCTGTATGTGTCTGCACCAGATCCTCTGCATGTATAATTAGGGCTCCAAGTTCAGTGTTTTTTATGGGATTCCTTGGTGTGCAGGACAAGTAAGTCATGGGTTTCTGTGCCTTGCTTTGCCTTTTTTCCTTCCATTTGTTTTTTTCCAATTCAAATGTGTTAGCTTATGTTTTATCTTATATTATATATTTATATTATGTATGATATATTATGTATTATATTAATTATATTACATATCATTAGTCCTTAGAAGCTTATTTGTTTTCTAATGAGAGATAGAAAGGGAGTGGATATACATGGGAGGGGAGATGGGGAGGAGCTGAGAGAGTAGAAGGAGGAGAAACCATAATCAGAATATGTTATGTAAGAAAAATCTATTTTTAATAAAAGAGGAAAAAGAATAATGGTCTTAAGCTGTCGATACAAAGGGTGTTTTTTAATTACATTAATTTAGTTTGTGTGTCAAAGGAAAGGGAGGATGCATGATTGGCACATGTGGTAGCCTGAAGACAACTTGCAGCCATGGAGACTGAATTCAGGCAAACAGCTTTACCTGCTGAGCCATAGCTCTGGCTGTATACAACATTTTGAATTCAGAAGTTCCAGAAATCCAGATTCACTATATAAGTAATCCTGTAATCCTATATGCAATCTATATAAAAATTTTATTGCTCTAAGATTTTTAGCTATTTTATAGTAATTTAAGCATGGCTATAAAGTTTGGTATATGGAAGATTATAAATTAAATGTGGATAAAGCAACTAAGTGATTAAGCTTTACTCATTATACTGTAATGATGAAGTCAGTAAATAATAAGCATTTTAATTATTTTTCTGACACACATGACATGTCACTTATGCATAATAATTATTGTTTGGTTTAGCGTCTTTATTCACCTTTTGTTGAAAGTGGCTGAAAGGATCATTTGGACTTAATACATTTTTATTAAAGAATAAGCATCCCTTTCCCTATAATTTGAAGAAATTTATTTACATGTATTACATTTCAATAAAGACATGAGAGGAAATGATATTAGTGAAGGAAAAGGGTTCATCTAGAACATCAGATGCAAACTGTTTACTATCTAGAAGATGAGCAAGAAGAGAGTATCATTTTCAAAGGAAAAGCCTGTATTGTGAGACTCTGTCCTCTGAGCATAATGACCATTACCATCTTAATCAGAGTATCTGTGGTTACCCACAAGAGATTCTCAAGGGTCAATAGACCCCCATCTGAGTTTCCAAACACTCCCTTCTGTCCTTCCACCCAACTGGATGCAATCCTCAGAAGCTGGTAGAACATATAAAGGATGAAATGTTAGTGAGGAGGGCACTACAGCTGCGCAGCTATGGGGAAGCTGACTGCTGTGCTAGGGTAAGATATGTTGGTGACACAGCTGTTTTGGAGTCACTTGTGCTTCAGTAACCTGTCACTCATGCTTCT